ACTTTAAAATTATGAACAATAAGTGGGTTCCTTTTAATAAAATTAATAAAGAAAAATTGAGAATTACAAAACTGCCCCTCTTAACTTCATCCCCAATCCCGCAATCTCATTCTCTCTCTATTCTCGTTACCTTCTCCCCCTTTTCAACACTATCGTTGATGTTCTTACCCCTTCTCTGTCATCGGTGCTGACGTTCTCTTCCTCGTTTCTCCTTCTTCTACCTCCCTCCTTATTTCCCTTTTCTTCTTCCTTTCTTCTTTTCCATCTGGGATCTAGGAATCCAAATAGCATAGTCTTCAACCAGAATCAAAACCTAGAAATTTTTTAAATGCATTTGTCTTTATTATTAATTTTGAATTGAGTTTGTCTAACCCAATTAATGGTTAAGAATATATTAAATATTTTTAAAAAAAATTTATATTAAAAAATAATAATTAATATTTAATTTATTAATTATATAATTAAATTTACAATTAAATTCATTCATTAGACATTAATACTCAAATTAATATCAATTTTTATAATTTTTTATATACATTTATAATAAAAACATATTTTTAATTTGTACTTAAAGGCACAAGTTAAAAAACTTTTTTAAAATTTTTCCCAAACAATGTGTAATATGGTATTTTTCTTTAATGTGATTTTTTTGTATTTTAGGAAAGAAAACTTGAATTATGTAGTATGTACCCTTTATATGTAAATTGAGTGTGCCATTTGAGATATGTAGCAATTGGGGCTACTTTCTTCAATAGAAACTAGTATCTTTGCTTTCTTCAATGTTAATTTTTTGTTTGTTCTTTGATAAATTTAAATGAGTTTTAGTGTGATAACACTAGATAAAAAGGGAAGATACACCAGAAGAGGAAGGGAGGAGAGAAAGGGACACGGGAAGGGGGAGGAGAGAAAGGGACATGGGAAGGGGAAGGAGAGAAGATTAATTGCTTGTGGGCCCCACTATTTATTTTAATTAAAAATAAGATAATTGTGCATTAAGGAAATAATTAAGTTAAGATTTTTGGGAGTTAAAAGAACTTACTAAAGTGGTTGTTACCCGTATATTTAATTTAATTCATTAATTAATATATTAAAATTTGTAAAGAAAGAGATTCACTTAAAATATAACATGGACATAAAGAAATTGTCCACCTCACCAATAAAATAATTTTAGAATTGC